TGCCTCAATGTACAGTATTAGCAAGCCAGCTCTTTGTGTCCATGTCAATAAAAACATCATTCTGCTCAAACAGTGCTGTGCAATAAGGTATACAGACATGATCAAGTAGCGTATCCTCGTTTTCTTTCTCATGTTCAAAGAATTTGTCCAGCCCGTGGGCCTTGAATATGCGCTCCGACTCATCAGAGAAGAGGACAGCATCACCATCAAACGCCACTCTCAGCTGAGATTCTGACACCTCTGTCATCTTCTCTGGCATGAACATGGTGGCTGCTGCGATGCCTGAGCACAAACACGGACATTTGTAAACAATTATTTGATTGACTACCACTTTAAATAATGTGTGGAACAGGAACGGAGCATTGCTTCAAGTTTACCATTGTAACACACTTTGGACATGGGCTTTAGGTAACACGTTTTAGAGATAGAGCGGGGATTTCAGTTATGTGAGAGGGCCTCCTTCACAGCAAGAGAAGCCAAGTTTAGGTGGCTCAGACATTTGGTTAGAGTGTTGTCTGGGCACCTCTGCTGTCAGGAGGCCCCCCTGGTCGACCCAGGCTAGGGTTAGGGTTAGGGTTAGGGTTAACCCTAACCCTAACCCTAACCCAGCTCAAGGCTGGCCTTGGAAAACCTTGGGGTCTCAGCAGAGGAGCTGCTAAAGGTGGCTAGGGCTTAATTGATAGGGCCTGTGGCCCAGACCCAGAGAAATGGTTGAACAGATGAAACAAATACTTAACTTTTTCAACAAAACCATATTGTGCACTCAGATCAACTGGAGTGTGATAGTCTGTCAACACAAGTAACTTAGTACTGTGTTTTAGAGATATCTTGGATGGAACTGTGGAGTTGAGTCAACGTTGTGGTTTTCATACCTGTTTTTATTTGTATTTTATGGATTAGTCTCTCATGTGCATTGATTGCTTTGTCCAGCACTTAAGTCAGCTGCCATGCTGTCTGAGGAGTGTTTTATAAATACATTAGAGTTGACTCCAACCTGTTGTACAATGCCTAAAGGTATATTTGACCATGTAGGTTTGCCTTACAACAATTATGTTTGCTAATCAAGACTGGCAATACTCAAAATAAAATGAGTGTTCTATGAAATTTAAAAACTTTATTATCATGTTGAACGCTAACATTGAGTTTTTTACCCTTAGCCTTTGTGGTACTTCGAGTACAGAGTTCTCACCTTCAGTCAGAGCTTCCCTGACCTTTTCAGCGTCAGCAGACAGGTAAAGGTTAGTGTGCCAGGCCTTCAGGTACCCGATGGGACTGCTTCCGCCCGTCATACAAAACCTCTCAATGAAAAGATCTGGGAATAAGACCAACACATAGCAACAAGGCCTTTAATTTCAGCACACTCTCAAGTGTTAGAGGTCCGTGCATGGGCAGAATGAATTTTAGAATATTTTACATATTAATTTGCAATTCGTGCAACGCGAGTAGGTGTTGAAATGAAAATGCCAACAGGAATGGTTCAGGTGAATCTTGTTTTCAGGAGGGAATTAAAATAAATTCTATACAGTGTGGCAACAGAGCATAAGAGTAAACCCTAACCCACGCCCCCCCCCCCACACACACACACACATTAGCAAGCCCTTGCACAGCTGTTTCAAAACATTACAAAGCGATTTTAATGCCATTTAAACTAAATATCAGATATGAAAATAGAATAAATGCTGGAAGTGCTGCAGGGGTGTAAGAAACTTTATCTGGCGCTCTCACTGGTGCTCTTCAGCCAAGGGATCAACATAAATGTTGGCAAAAGGAAGATCTGAGGCACTCAGGAGACACAAAAATAAAAAGCCTTTATTAGTACATGGATCAAAGAGTTAAAAACATAGATGCCAACGCGTTTCAGCCCACTGATTTGTTTTAAAAAAAAATTTTGAGCCCTGACGAAGGCCCTGTGGGCTGAAACGCGTCGGCATCTATGTTTTTAACTCTTTCATCCATGTACTAATAAAGGCTTTTATTTTTGTATCTCCTGAGTGCCTCAGATCTCCTTTTGCCAACATAAATATCAGATACTTTTGCACCCCCCCATAGTTATTTCTGATCCATAAAATAAAGTGCGTTATTTCAAGACTTAGTGTGTGAGTCCTTTACGTTTGGGCAGTATGAGTATCATCTGAGCATGACATAAAACAGTTACACAGTACTTGCTCGGGTTGACCAAGTACATCCAGCTAGAATAGGCAATGCCTGGTTGACGCCCAATGTAGACCCTAGGTAGGTCACCAATGGGAAAAATGCAAATGGGTTCAGAGTAGGCAGCACATGCAGAAGCCACTCTTCTGCTGGGTTTGACAATGATCAAATGTTTTTATGTCCTGAAAAGTCCGGTGTATACTTGGAACTGGTAGGTGTCTTTAAGACATGGCTTCGTTCAGGCATACACGCTGTAGTCAAGAGGCATAGTGGAGGATTTATGCAAACCCAGGCTGTAAATCAATTGAAATATGATGCAACACAGCATGTTCACAAATATAGCCTGATAGATATCAGTCTGACTGAGCTATGTTTCTGTAACACGAACCAGGACTGGGCCGGAGTGCTTTAACATCACATGTCTACATGTTTAATACTAGCAGTGTGATGAGGTGCTCCTAGTGGCCTTTTTCAGACTTGTAAAGACTTAATCACCAAAGTAACAAACCTGTCCCACATTTTATTAAAAGACTTAACTCACCCAAGTTAGCGGATCCTTTGAATCGTCCAAGTTCATTCATTCACTTGGCACAATAATAATAATATAATCTTATTATGCTGCATGACTGCATCCTTTCAACTATAGTTTAGCAGGTCTGGAATCAGAAGAGTGACAGCAGTCTTCGTCTGTGGAGTGGTTTGTTTCCCTTGGTCAGCTGTATCTTTCAAGGTGCAACGTTTGGCACTAGCATTCAGCCCAGATAAAATGGCAGTACTTCAGATTTCACGTTAACATTAATGTGTTGATGCACGTATGTGCCGGTCTCACGAGATCATTCTTCCAGACTGATAATGAACTGCAGTGATTCCATCTAATGCCTGCCTGTTTTTCTGATTCTCAGTCTGACGTAGGGAGACCAGGTGTCCTGAACTGTGCTTCATCCTACAAAGTGGGTACAACCATGGGTCCCACCCATGCATAAACAAGGGCCCCACCTGGGCCACCCCAACTTAAAAGTCCTGGACATGCCACTGCTGCTGATAAGATAAACCATTACCGCATGGTTGGTCACTTATAACTTTACATTAAGAGGCATATTTCACTTGTTTGTTTCTTCGTGAAGATCCAGAGGTCAGGGGAGTCTCTGAATTCACTCGGTCCCTCACATAAAACCACCAAAGAAGTTCTCTGGATCTTCCACCAAAGACATCTAACATGAAAGCATCTGTGAGGCTGTGTGTTGCTTTAGTGGCTTTATTTAGACCTGTTTGTCTTTCAGGCCTCTTGGATTATTCTTCTATCCCGTTGGGATTTCATCTCAAAGCCTGAAGGTCTGATGATCTGAAAACATCTGAGGAGCTGCACAGGAAGTGGTCTGTGAAGAGGATGTCACCACAGGGTCTGAGATTTTCCCTGGGAAGCAGTCAGTCAGCCAGTCAGCTGTTCACACATATTGAAATGCAGAAAGAAATTCCAGGTCCAAAAATGTGCGGGTTGACGGTTAAATCAGTTAAATATGAATTTAAACCTTTTGAGCCAAACAGGTTTTGTGCATCAAAGTTGTTGCTTTTCTAAAATCTTGACAGGGTCAGGATATGGCAGGCGTTGGTTTCTCTGTTGTTAGTCAGATTTGTTTGTATTTTAAAAAGTCAGTAAATGTAAAAAGTGATGTGTGAAAATGGTCCCTCAAATTTTCACTTTCAAGTTATGCAAATTTACTCCAGCTTGGCACAAATGACCTCCCTTGACGATGCTGGACGCAGTTTGTGGCCAAAAGAAAAACATTTTCATTTTGAGGACAGCCCAGCTGCAAGAAGGGGAATAAAGGGCTGTTTGAAGTCAAAGACAGTTATTGTCTTTAGTTGTAAAAGATAAAAACATGATTTTCTGCTCTTTTTTTTTACAATAAGAGGCATGACAGTCAGGCAACCTGCAGCTAAAGCTAGGCTTGGAAAACTGATGTGAGTCAAGTCAATAAAATTGACTCTTTGATACCAAGCTTCTGTACGGCATTTAAAATACCGCTACACAAAGTGATCAAGTGATTTTTGGTGAGACTTACTGTGATGGTTTATGGTGTTAATAAGACGGATTCCAACGTGTGCATGGTTGTACGTAACCAAAACGATGTCGAACAGTTCTTCACTTTGTGGGTACAGCTCCCGCAGACGTGCGTTGACCGTCTCCAGAGCCTGAGAGGAGGCTGCAAAAATCAGCTGATGGGAAGCTCAGAAACATGCACCATTAAAGCAGCAATTCAGAGTTTTACCCCCTATTCAGGAATCGTACATGATTTTTTATAAATCAATAAAAATGATAGTCTTATCCTGCACTGAGATATATTGGGGGCAATACATCAGTTTTGTTTTGCAAGGCCCAACCCATATTTGGTAGAACCTCGTGTAATTTAAATTGAGTGTAAGACATCTGTTTACGTACAGATGTCATTCACAGAGTGTGCACGCGCATTTAAGGAAGCACGTAAATTGTTTACATAAAAATGAACAGCATATCCGTACAATAATGACATTCAAATTATGTATTCTAGCTCTTTAGCCTAGCTAGAGGTGCAAGTTCACGAATAAGAGGCAATGCTTCCAGCTGTAATCACAGAAATAGGGAGAGGGGCTTAGGTGCAATACATTTATCCACCTCTAGATGGTGCTATCTCAGAAAAAACTCCTGATTTCTGCTTTAAGCAAAAACATCTTGCTGTATGTGAATGTGTGAGTTTAACCTTGACAAAGGAGAAAGCAGGTCCAGGTGCAAAGGGTTCGTTCTCATGCTCGATTTGGTACCTCAGATATTCCTCCACGCCTTTCTGCTCAAACACCTTTTGCTCTCGCTCGGTTCGAAACAAGACCCGGGAAGAAACGGCAATCGTCACAGCATTCTCTGGCTTTGGCTGAAAGACAACAACAACAACAAAAAAAGTGAGGTAGAAAACAGTGTTGAAGAAAAACAAACAAAGGAAGCAATGACCCAGGGAAATTTTATCACCTGATGCAAGAGACTGAGTTTCAGACTAATCCATGATTCTACCTTTTACATATTCGTAACCTTGACTTTTAATCTTGACCCTTTGACCAAACTCTTCTTGATTTCCTTGCAGCGTCATTGGGATTCCCAGTACCCTGTGGAATCCCATGGCACCTGTAACTGTCCTCAACATCGGCAATGTTGATAATAGGTTCTCCAAAGCCCTTTTAGATGTGATCACATTGGCTCTATGTCAGGACGTGCCGGTGAGTGGAGCGGAGGTGAGGATCCAAATGCAGGGGAGAAGGCAGGCAGGCAGGCAGAAACGTTTTTAGAGGGATTTTAATCACGGACACACGGGACATGCAAACAATGCGGCAACAAGAGATAAAGAACTGGAGGGGTTTAAATACAGGAGGGCTGGGAGCTTGGGTGATTGGGAAACGAGAGGCAGGTGGGAGCAATCAACGGAGACACAAGCTGAACCAAATGGGGAGACAGGACAGGGTGTGACAGTACCCCCCCTCAAAGGGCGGCTTCCAGACGCACACAGGAACACAGAGCAGGGCGGGAGGAGGGGGAGACACAGGCTGAACCAAATGGGGAGACAGGACAGAGTGTGACAGTACACCCCCCCCCCCCCCCCCCCAAAAGGGCGGCTTCCAGACGCACACAGGAACACAGAGCGGGGCGGGAGGAGGGGGACCTGGAGGGAGGGCTAAGAGGGACCGAGGGGCCGATGGAGAGGAGGCAGGGACCAGCAGAGTCCGGGGGCCTGCGTCTAGGGCAGAGGAGGCGGCGACGACGGGCTCTTGGGGGCCTGCGTCTGGGGCAGAGGAGGCGGCGACGACGGGCTCTTGGGGGCCTGCGTCTGGGGCAGAGGAGGGGACGACGATGGGCTCTTGGGGGCCTGGGTCTAGGGCAGAGGAGGCGACGACGATGGGCTCTTGGGGGCCTGCGTATGTGGCAGAGGAGGCAGCGACGACGGGCTCTTGGGGGCCTGCGTCTGTGGCAGAGGAGACGGCGACGACGGGCTCTTGGGGGTCTGAGTCTGGGGCAGAGGAGGCGGCGACGATGGGCTCTTGGGGGCCTGCGTCTGTGGCAGAGGAGGCAGCGACGACGGGCTCTTGGGGGCCTGCGTCTGTGGCAGAGGAGACGGCGACGACGGGCTCTTGGGGGTCTCAGTCTGGGGCAGAGGAGGCGGCGACGACGGGCTCTTGGGGGCCTGCGTCTGGGGCAGAGGAGGCAGCGACGACGGGCTCTTGGGGGCCTGCGTCTGTGGCAGAGGAGACGGCGACGACGGGCTCTTGGGGGTCTGAGTCTGGGGCAGTGGAGGCGGCGACGACGGGCTCTTGGGGGCCTGCGTCTGTGGCAGAGGAGGCAGCGACGACGGGCTCTTGGGGGCCTGCGTCTGTGGCAGAGGAGACGGCGACGACGGGCTCTTGGGGGTCTGAGTCTGGGGCAGTGGAGGCGGCGACGACGGGCTCTTGGGGGCCTGCGTCTGTGGCAGAGGAGACGGCGACGACGGGCTCTTGGGGGTCTGAGTCTGGGGCAGAGGAGGCGGCGACGACGAGCTCTTGGGGGCCTGCGTCTGTGACAGAGGAGCATGCGAGAACAGGACACAGGAGACTGAAACACAAGGGGCACAGGAGACTCTTGAGAGGACGTAGACTCCTGAGACTGGAACTCTTGGGAGGAGGGGAAGACGTCATCCTCCTGGACTGGAGACGTTGACCCTTTGGATGGATCTCTGGGCGTTGTCTCTGTAGGCTGGACCGGGGACAAAGTCTCTGCAGGCTGGATCGGGGGCAAAGTCTCTGCAGGCTGGACCGGGGACAAAGTGTCTGCAGGCTGGACCGGGGACAAAGCCTCTTGGACAGGGGACAAAGTCTCTTGGAGAGGCTGGACCAGGGACAAAGCCTCTTGGACAGGGGACAAAGTCTCTTGGATGGGCTGGACCGGAGACAAAGCCTCTTGAACGGGCTGGACTGGAGCCTCGTGGAAGGGCTGGACCGGAGCCTCGTGGAAGGGCTGGACCGGATACGGTGCAACCTCCGGAAACACCACTGTAACTGGACACGGAGCGACCTCCGGGACCACCGCTGGAACTGGACACGGTGCGACCTCCGGGACTGGAGACGGCAGAAACGTTGGACTAGAGGGGACATCGACCTCTGGACTGGAAAGAGCGTCGACCGAGTAAGATGGCGCTCGCGCTGGTGCACACTGCGAGCTGCTCGTCCTCTTTATGCACTGGTACCTCGCTTTTTACTGGTTTTTATTGGCGTTTTATTGGCTTTTATGCATTTTTGTTGTCTCTGATGCTTTTTTTGAATGGTGTCCTTCCTTTGATGTAGCGGGCAGCGCACACTGGGATCCGGGCTGCGTGAGCTGGGAACCTCACGGATGGTGCTGCTGGTTGAATTGCCCGCGTGCTCTCTCCACCCGAGCCATGATGTGTCAGCCCTCTGTCCGCCCCAGTTCGAGAAGGAAGCATCGGAGAAGATGGGGAAAGAGAGGTAGCCGGCGCGTGAGATGTCGGCCTGGATCCCTGAAGAAGCGGCTGGCCCGATTCGGCCCAGCTTCGGACCCGGTGGTTCCAAGATGTCTCCTGGATTACTCGGTGCCCTGCCCAGGGAACTTGGCCGGCTCTGAGGGTGAACCGGCACCGCGCCACGGCTGATCGGCTCGAAGATCTCGCCAGACTGGGGTTTAATGGGAGAATCTGCGCTCGGTTACGGGCACAGAATTAAAGGAGACTGGGCCCGTGCGCGATCTCGGTGCTGCAGCCCCGCTGCAGACCCGGTTTGGTCTGGTCAATGCCATGTCTGTGCCGAACAAAACTTTTATTCTTCGTGACTTTTTTATTCAGCATGACTTGGGTTTTCTCTGCATCTGTGAGTCATGGATCCCGTTTGGTTACTCAAGCGCCCTGCTGGAGCTGGTACCACCTGGCTGCTCCTGTTTTAATATCCCCAGATCACGGGGCAGAGGTGGAGGGCTGGTTGTTGTTTTTAAATCCAGCTTTCCTTGTAAACAGCTTACACCCACCATGTCATTTTCTTCCTTTGAACTGTGCTTATTTGAACTGTGCATCTCCCCCCGCCTGCTCGTTGTGCTGATTTATCGGCCCCCAAAGACTGACTCGAACTTCCTTAATGATTTCTGTGATCTTGTGGCAGACTGCATCCTAAAATATGATTATGTCCTATTTTTTGGTGATTTTAACATCCATATCTGCTGTCCTGACAATGTGCTCGCTAAAGGTTTTTAATTTGCTAGATTCATTCAATCTAACTCAATGGGTATCATCCCCAACTCATGCCAGGGGTCACACCCTGGACCTGGTTGTCTCTTATGGTCTACCCGTCACGAACCTTGTGACTTTGCCTCCTGTGTTCTCTGACCACTCTCCTATACTCTGTGATGTTACGTTGCCATGTCCTGTCCCTGTGTGTGAAGCTCCCGCTACTAGGTTCAGAGCCCTGGATGCAGAAACTATTTCAAAGTTTGTGGACTGTATGTCTGTAAGGTTAGAGACCTTTAACCCTGATCCATCTAACATTGATCACTATTCACAACACTTTGATGTACTTTGTAATCAGGTGCTGGACGTGGTTGCCCCTCTCAAACTTTGCAAGTCTCGGCCTAGGAGGGAGCCTTGGCTCTCTGATGTCACACGGGCTTGCAGGCGGGCGTGTAGATCCTCTGAGAGAAAGTGGAAAAAGGATGGCCTACAGGTCTCGCGTGAGTTGTTCAGAGCATCTCTGGTTGCTTATCAGGATGCTGTGAGGGCTGCCAGAACGGCCTATTTTGCAGACATCATCGAAAAAAACTCCAATAATCCTAAGATCCTCTACAAAACACTAAACTCGGTTCTGGTGCATCAGGAGCCTAGCTCCATGTCTCCTACAGCTGCTGGAAACTCTGAAGCTTTTCACAGATTCTTTGTTGATAAAGTGTCAGGCATTAGAGCAGCTATTTCTGGTAACTCTGTTGACCCTGTTCCAGTTCCTCCATCACCACCCACCCTGAGCTCCCTCAATCCTGTTTCATACTCTGAGCTGAATAAGCTTGTTGCAAGGCAGAAGCCATCTGGCTCTCCACTTGATGTTCTGCCGCCTCGTCTCTGGAAGGCTGCCTTTCCGTGCCTTGGCCCTTCACTTGGTCGGATTATCAATGGGAGCCTCAGCACAGGTGTGGTCCCAGCTGCTTTGAAAGCCGCAGTTGTTCAGCCGACCCTGAAGAAACCTGGTGCTGATGTCTCTGTGATTGAAAATTACAGGCCTATCTCTACCCTGCCCTTTACAACTAAACTGCTTGAGAAAGTCGTTTATCAGCAGCTGGTCTCACATTTAGCTGACTCTGATCTGTTTGAGGTTTTCCAATCAGGGTTCAGGTCTGGCCATAGCACAGAGTCGGCTCTACTGAGGGTCCTAAATGACATCTATCTATCACTAGATCAGGGTACATCTGTGGTGCTTCTGTTATTAGATCTGACAGCGGCCTTCGACACAGTTGACCACGCGATTCTACTCGATCGCTTGGCACGATGGGTTGGGATCAAAGGGTCTGCTCTGGATTGGTTTAGATCGTATCTCCACAACAGGACATTCTGTGTTAAACTGGGTGATGTTTTTTCATCTTGGGAGGGGCTCCGCTGGGGGGTCCCGCAGGGATCGATCCTTGGTCCTCTTTTGTTTGCCATTTATCTGCTACCTCTGGGGTCAATCTTTCGTAAACATGGCCTATCATTCCATCTGTATGCTGACGATTGCCAGATTTACTCTCCATTGTGTCAGGAGAAAGGTCACTCTATTCAGTCCTTTGTGTCTTGTGTTAACGAGGTGAAGTCTTGGCTAATGGCCAACGTTCTGCATCTGAATGAGGGAAAGACAGAGCTCATTGTTTTTCACCCCAATAGCAGGAATGTGGATCATCATATTGATCTTGGGCCTCTTTCTCCCTACTCAAAACCAGTTGTGACCAGTTTGGGGGTGAAAATTGATGCTGGACTTAAATTTGATGCTCACATCAACTCTGTGATCCGGTCCAGTTTCTTTCACCTGAGACGCCTTGCAAAAATCAGGCCCATGCTGTCAAGAGCCCACCTGGAGCGGGTACTCCATGCTTTTGTAATTTCTAGGCTTGATTATTGCAGATCTCTATATGCAGGGTTGTGTCAGTCATCACTGCATCGCCTACAGGTTGTGCAGAACAGCGCAGCCAGATTCCTGACTGGGACCAGGAAACGGGACCACATCAGTCCGGTTCTGGCCTCCCTGCACTGGCTTCCGGTTTGCTATCGTTCACACTTCAGACTCCTCGTCTGTGTTTTTAATTTCTTCCAGGCTGGTGGTCCCCCCTATCTAGCCACGCTCCTGAACAGACACTCCCCATCACGCGCTCTGCGCTCCTCTGACCAAGGCCTGCTCGTTGTCCCTCGTTCTAGGTGTCGTACTCGCGGGGACCGGGCTTTCTCAGTCCTAGCACCGTCACTATGGAACCAGTTGCCACCCTCAGTTAGGCTGTCCCCATCTCTGCCAGTCTTCAAGAGTCGCCTAAAAACCCACCTCCTCCGCATGGCGTTTCCTGAACATGTTTGAATTTGGCCCTCCTTTATGTTGATTTTATCTCACAGTTTTCATTGGTTCACGTTTTCCTTGTTTTACACATTTGTCTTCTACTAGAATGTTTCACCTTTTTTGTAATTTGTAATCTGTAATTTGAATTGCTTTTATTTTCTGATTTATTCACTTTCTTTAACTTTGTACTGTACCATGTTCAGCGCCTTGGGCTTCCTGACAGGGTTGCGGAAGGCGCTTTATAAATAAAGCTTTGATTTGATTTGATTTGATTTGACCTCTGGACTGGAAAAAGCGTCGACCTCTGGACTGGAAAGAGCGCAGACCTCTGGACTGGAAAGAGCGTCGACCTCTGGACTGGAAAGAGCGCCGACCTCTGGACTGGAAAGAGCGCCGACCTCTGGACTGGAAAGAGCGCCGACCTCTGGACTCGCAAGAGCTTCGACCTCTGGACACGAAGGAGCGTCGACCTCTGGACACAAAGGAGCATCGACCTCTGGACTGGAGAGAGCGTCGACCTCTGGACTGGAGAGAGCGTCGACCTCTGGACTGGAGAGGGCGTCGACTTCTGGCCTGGGGGTGTTGACTTCTGGCCTGGGGGCGTCGACTTCTGGCCTGGGGGCGTCGACTTCTGGCCTGGGGGAGTTGACCTCTGACCTGGAGGCGTTGACTTCTGGCCTGGGGGCCTCGACTTCTGGCCTGGGGGCGTCGACTTCTGGCCTGGAGGCGTTGACTTCTGGCCTGGAGGCGTCGACTTCTGGCCTGGAGGTGTCGACTTCTGGCCTGGGGGCGTCGACTTCTGGCCTGGGGGCATCGACATCCATCGACTTCTGGTCCGTAGGCTCCTGGACCGCTGGCTTCTGGACCGCTGGCTTCTGGAGTGGAGGAGGAGTTGCTGCAGACGGGACCGCTTGGATAGGCTGGACCGGACGCGGTGCGACCTCCGGGCCCACCGCCGGAACTGGATGTGGTGCGACCTCCGGGACCACCGCTGGAACTGACGCTGACTGGACTGGTGGCGCGGGACCTGGTGGAGCCAGTAACCGGAAAAGCAGGGAGGATAGATTGTCCAACTGGAACTCCTGGAGACTGAGGATCTGACGGAGTCGGTCCAGCTCAGCTCGGAGACCGGCGTGCTCTGCTGGGTGGACTGCAGGCTTGCTCCTCTGGCTCTGAGACGAGGGAGCCGCTGGCTGAACTGGAGGCGGGGCCGCTGGCTGGACAGAAACCCTCCCCTGGAGATACGGGGAGGACAGTGTGTCCAGCTGGAACTCCCGGCGGCTGACGAGCTGACAGATCCAGCCAAGCTCCGCCCGGAGACCGGCGAGCTCTGTCAGCTGGGCTGTAGGCGTGGTTGCTCCGCCTGCAGATGACGGAGGCGTTGATTGGACTGGAGATGGGACTGCTGGTCTGACAGGGGGCGGGTCCAAGCTGGTGCGCCGAACCGGGGCAGCGGCGAGCTCGCGGCTCCGTCCTGGGACACAGGGTTGCGGTGGAACCCGGCGTCCTTTGCCACGCCGTGGTTCAACTCAGGGGGAGCACACAGCCAGTCTGGTGCCGACTTAGCAGGAGCGGTCTGGCAGCGTCTCCTGGTCCAACCTCTCATCTGGCTCCGGGAGGGTGGAGAGGATCGCCGAGGCTGAAGTCCAGTGACGGCGGCGAGGCGGGAGGAATCAACGGAGACACAGACTGAACCAAATGGGGAGACAGGATAGGGTGTGACACTCTCTTGCCAACCACCATCACAACTCAAGCACATTTATCCAATGGCATCCAAACGTCTTTGCTGTATACTGGTGAGGTCGATCACTGACTCCATGTCTCACATCACTTATGCCAACATTGACACTAACTTTGGATTTAAATTGGCAACCAAAGATTCCTTCAATGTTTCCGTTGAGAATTTGAAACACATAATGTCCAGTTCATGTAAATTTCCAAGAATCCTATGATCGAGGAGGAAGGCATCAGGTCACCTGCCTCTTTGTAGTCAGTCCAGGCTATGCACAGGTTTCTGTGTCTGGTCTTACAGTCTCCTGTGTCTTGTGTTGGGTAGGTGAATGGTGAGTGGCCATGCTAGCTAAAGAACATATACAATGAAAGGTATAGAGAGCAACATCACTGTCTTAACTTACCAAAGGTGCTGCAGATCACCAACCAACACTGGGAAACCACCTAAACCACAGCAATGGCTCCCTTCAGCAGTAGGAATCTTTTGACACCTCATGATTCAAGTTAATTATGACCCAGATGGGTGCAATATGATTTAAAAATATTTTTCACAGATCTCAATGCATTTTTTTTACTGTAGCTGTCCTTTAAGCTAGCCAAAAATGAAAATGTGGCCCCACTTTGGCACATTATGTTGTGTTTAGTATAAAAAAGGACAGAAATGCCACCACAAAACCTCTAGTTCATCCAGTTCAGCATGCAACAGAAGTATTATTGAGAATGCATGCTTGCTATTTATTTATTATTAACATTCTGCAAATACATTCTGTAAACAGGTCACAGACTAGTAAGATCACTGAGCGGGTACAATTAGCCATTACAGCACAGCTTACTGATGTACTCACATGACCTACTCAGGTTTTATTTTCTAAGTCAGTCTGGTCAAAATATTTAACCCTTTGATGCATAATGGTCACTACAGTAGACAGGTACTCAAAATTGTTATTTATTTGTTTTTGCTATTAAGCACAGCTGTTGAACACTTTATTGCATGTGAGCCCCTCCATTTGGACTTCAGTAAGCCAAGCCAACATACTTCATGCTCAGAATGCACGCTGTCCACTGAGGTGGACATGTAATAAATTATTTGTAAATTATAAAATTTTACAAAAAATGTTAGTTGAAATTTGTTTCATTCACACCTAAAGAATAATGAAAGAAATTGTTAAAAAAAATCATGGGTGAAGATTTCATAATTCATGCATCAGAGGGTTAATAAAGCTCAACAGATTCAGCCCTAGATAACACCCATTTCCCCATAAAGTTGAATTAGCTTCATATGTTTGTTTTTGTGATGATTTTAATTTTTCCTTTCTTTATGCCAGCTTGGCATCTTCAGGCATAAAAAGTCACTATAGAGCGGTGAAGTCGACTAGTGACTAGTTCAAACAACCCCCTACTGCTCCCCAGAGTGTTCTGCAGCATAATCAGCACGTTCTCTTTGAACCTGATATCAAATTTTCGCCTCCTCTTCGTGAGACGATGACACAACCGCCCCCCGTACTTGCTTGTTACCACATTCCACCCGGCCACAATAAGAGACCAGGCATCATTCACCTCCGCCGACTCCGACACCGACCAAAATATGAGACCCGGCCGTTAATTGAATACAGGCCTGTATTAGAGGATTTACGGTATATGGACAAGCTGTATGGGTCTCAACAGGGTTTGTCTGTGGTTTCCATGGTGGCCCCAGAGGAGTTTGCCCAGAAAGATTTTTGCCCACATAGATTTTATCAGCCCTACGTGGGTTTTCAGAGGCCCGTTAAAATCTCTGTGGACAAACTGCCGTGAGGCCACCATGGAAACCATGGACAAACCCTGTTGAGACCCATACAGCTTGCCCAGATATGTTTCATGTGAGGCCCATTAACATTTAAAAATCACCACAGAGCAAGCATTCATTAAAGGTGTCACAGCCGTTGGTTGGTACAGTCAGTCCAGCCAGAGACGTTCAGAACAACATACACACGACAACACACATGGAGATGTACCAGGTCAGGCTGTTGGTTAGTAACGTAGGTGTGTCTGTGATCATGCAGGAACATCAGAGGCCACAGAAGTTAACAAAGGATGAAAGGGCTGATGCCGTGAGCACAACAGTTAACCTTTACGTGACGATGGGACATACTTACAAAAAACACGCCTCCTTCCACCTTCCGGGCTCGTCTCCCTGTCACCTTAGCAGAATGACAGTTTCTTTTTATTCAGCAATACATCTATTTATTTTTACATTCCTAGGTAACGTGTGATAACTCGCTTTGGTTCTGTGAAATAAACAAATGCAGATAATTATATCAAACAGACTGTTTAAAGGTCAGAGGACACACTGTTAGACTTTACCTATCCACTTTACGGTAATAAACTGGCAACACTGTTGCCAGCATGACACCGTGATGCATGGTTAACGGTAACTTACCACTTAGTGTTGATCCCAGAATTATACCGTATATTTTATTGCTGTAAAAAACCCTCTGACTGCATGCCGGTGAGATACTGGCAACACTGTTGCCAGTATCTCACCGGCAACAGTGTTGCCAGTAAAATACCGTAATATATTTCACAAGAAAATTACATCAATAATGCAACATTATACCGTGATTAATAAATATGTGTTGTGCTGTATGTTTATGGTATGTTACCGTAAGCTCATTTCAAGGTATGCTGCAATACCTTTTCCAGTGATTTACCGTAAACATACACTTTTGCTACTGAAAATAGTCAACGCTGTCAGAGGGTACTGTGTTTTTGTGGGCAGTAATTTACCTTTTTCATGTCATATTTTACTAAGATATGAGTAAACGGTAACATACTGTAATAAAATAAAGGCTCCCAAAATAAAAGGTTTATACTTGTGCACACACACACACACACCTGCACACTTGTTTATATAATAGTTGGATATATTTAAGATCAAGATGTAAACAAAATGCACTGGATTATCTTTTTATTTGATTTCTTCCATTAAAACAGAAAAACATACCAATAGCCGGTAAAAGTCTCTTGAATAAAATGCTTTGTAGTTAAACATCCAGAATGGTATAGTGAGAAGAAATTGGCAACTGATGGCCATAATGTAAAAAAGAAATGAATCAGTGACCTGTGTGACCTACAGCTGATAAATAGTCAGATGTATACAAAATGTATACAAACCTTTCTTAAATGCAAGTAGGTACGTATTTGAATTGGTGTAAGAAAATGTTTGAGATCATCTGCCTCTACTAACAGAAGGTCACTTTTTTGTTGGACACCAATGACATCTTTCAGGTGGTCTGCAAAGGACAGTACTTTCTGTCTCTCCAATTCCGGCAGGATGCATGTGATTTCATATTCAATTTCCAACACTGAAATATAAGAGGAAAAAATCATGAAGAAACTGAATGGTGCAGGGAAACAACAAAAAGATCTGTCATGTTATAAAGGGGTATTGGGTAATAATCCATCAGACTGTCAGCATTTACACACAAACTTCTGTCTGTAGGGCAGTGTAGGCAATAAAGTCCAAGGTCAATAAGGCGTACTGACTGATGCAATTCTAGTACAAAGTACCATTTAGAATCATTAACAAGTATCACAACTATCTTCCCAAACTCAGTGCTCTCATCAGTGTGATCTACTGCTACAACAACATGACCTTTGACATATTTGGTACCTTTGTAGACAACTGCTGACACATCTAGCATGTTATGATTAGAGACGTTTGCTTTTGTCACAGCATCCTGAGTGGCAGAGTTGTAAAGATGATGTCTATAATCATTCGCTTCCCCAATGATTTAAATTGTAGGTGGAAATATTTGCCCTGCCAAGAGGTAGGACTGCAGTAGCTGATGCCGTTCAGCCAGAGTCTTGCATAAATTGACAAAGTTATGCACTTTTCTTGAACATTGTTTGAAATAAGAGAGCTTGCTCTCAAACCAAAGAGTCCATAAATGAATAAGTGAAGTATAAGCTCTGGATAATGTGATAGGAAGTCATTTTGTGAAAGTTCCTGAATACTATTGTTTATAGATGCTTCAGGTATATCAAATGCAGAAAGTTTATCAAACAGTTTTCCAAGAACATTGTGCACTCCAGAGCTGTGAAGATCTTGGAATTCCTCTATGATGTATAGTGCTGGCTGGCAAAAGCATTTTAGCTTGCATTTTTAAATAAAACATTGCCAATTGATTTAGAAATGGCTCTTCATTATTTGTAGCATTCTGTAAATGTCTGTCTTCTAAGGTGTCCTGTCTGTCCTTGTACCATGTTAATGTCACCAATTTCTTGTTGACTTGTCTGTTGAACAGTCTTTGACTGCATGTGTTTCCGAGAAATATGACTAGAGAATGATGTTCGAACACTGAAATATTTAGAGCAACCTTTAAATGGGCATAATACTTTTTTTCCATCTTTAATATGGATCCTCAGATGGACACAAAGAGTTTTAATATTTTGTCCAACATACCCACATCCAGGAACTTGTCAGCTAAGATTTCCAGTGAACTTCCAGATCTCCTCCTCAGTGTTCTCCCCTCGTCTATGATTTCTGTGCATATGGGAACGAAAGGCAGTGAATGTTTTAAAAGTGGCTTTACAATTCTCAATTCCACAAGAAAACATATAATTTGCATTGTGTTTATGGCTTCTAACATGTGAACTGAACAATATAAATTTGTGTGCATGGAATCCACAATATTTACAGAGAAACATTTTAAGTACCCTATATCTTCAATAGTTTCTTTTCCAGGGATAGTTTAAGCAATACAACAAAAATGCATAGAAAACCAAACAGTACCTTAACAGTAGGCTAAATAGTCATAAAAAGCTCAAATATGCCTAAAATGTAACATCCCCTCAAAAATGGCCACAAAAAGGAAAATTATTTGACCTCAATATCAGAGTTAAACCTCTCCAACCTGTTCTGCATATCACAGCATGCACTGCCAGCAGCCTTCACCTGCAAACACTTACTGCCAAATTAGCCTTTGTTTTTTTGTTGCTCCTAACTTTATTGAAAACAAATGTCATACACAAGAGAAGTCAAGGAAACAAACAGACTTTGATAGCAGTCTCCATTACAGAAAATGTGAAGCAAATCCTTTTACCTTTGAAAAGAAAAAAGAAAAAGAAAAACTGATCAAGAGCAAAACAATAAGTAGCAGAAACATTTTGGCACAAGCAGTTTTCTTATTCATATCTGAGATGTGCTTGAGTGACTAAAAATATAGGGAAAAGTTATTCAAGAAAATGATAAACAGAGAACTGTTTTTCCAATTACATGAATAAATAAATTATTTACATAGGATATTTACAAAAAGAAAACATCAGATATTTTAAGTAAAATCTAGCTTTGGCTATCAGTCCAAAATACAATCACATGCTGACAATTGAAAATAGATTATGCATTGTTTGTAGATCCTAACAAATTTGGTTTTAAGCATCACATTACTTTGCATGGGTAGCAGCTGAAAATTAATCACCTTGTTTGTCAGTTTTTAAAACATTCAGGTAACTTCAATAAGGTGTTTACACATTTATGGACAGGGACCATTTTGCAGAATTTGCATGAAGATCACAGCTATAGCTAGTTTAAAAGCCAACACATGCAGTAAAATACTTACCAGACTGACCAACTCCCCTGTAATGGGTCGCATTCGAGATACGCGTTTGGAAAATGTTTTTATTTCTTCTTTTCCTAAAAGTGCAAGACATCGATCATATATTGTGTTTCCAATGTTGTTGTTTTGAAAGCAAATATCCAGGTTGTATCAGGTGAAAGTGATGAATTCTTTTTCACTTAGCTAATTCTGGGAAACCCAACAACATAAAACATACCTAGGGGTGGAAAATACCTTTGATGAGTTCTTCCTTGGCCCATTTCCTTAAGATTCCATCTATAGCTGTCTGAATTTTTTGTTACATCTATAGTGAACACAATAGATAGACAACAGCATAATTTTGGTGGCTGTAATTATCCTATAATATTGCTATGAAAACATGCAACAAAAAAACCAACTGATGGAATTTTGAAATGATCAATATTTTATGGAATATTTTACATTAAAATTCTTACAATTATAAAGTCGTAAACTGGTATCATGTCAGTTTTTTGATAAAATTCTGTAAACATTTATCAGTTTAAATCGCCCACCAGGCAGATGTCAATTACTGTCATTTAGGCAGTAGGACTAATAGATTTGCTTAAATATGATTTTATTAATCTGAGATGATTTTTTTATTTACAATGTAGGCTTGGTTAAAGCATCCAATCTTTTTTTTATATCATAATTAAAATATTTTTAAACAGATTTTAGTGAGTGTTTACATACTGTATGCTTTTATAATAGCTCAATTAAAACATTTATTCTTGAAGCATTTTCTCTTTACTATGGGCATAGTGTTTTTTCATTGGTGATCTCACAAAGAATTGTTTTGGCAGTGCACTCTGAATGAAGATTTGAGCAAGGTATTTTAAAATGTCCACTGAAAAACCACAGACAGAAAAATTTCAGAGGTATACCAAATTTTTATATTTGCTGTACTTTACCTGTTTTCTTTAAAACAGTGACGTACCATGAAAAATATGTGATGTTGTTGAATTTACTCACATTACATGCCAAATACAGTACTACACTGTAAACACTTTTAGAAGTATTTTACTGTTGATTTTACAGTAATATACTATAGGAATGACATCACAGTCTAACAGTGCATGGAAATTACAGTACTACACTGCAAACACTTTTAGAGGTATTTTACTGTTGATTTTACAGTAATATACTAGCAAATGCCAGCAAAGTCTAACAGTGCAGCCCGGAACTGTGAAGCAGTTTTGCAGACGTATGAAACCTTTAATGCAGCTTATATGTTAGAGTCAGTTTACTCTATGAATAACATGTCACACACTTTGGAGGTGATCCCAGAACCAGAGTCCAGTTCTTTACTGTGATCCGATACTGGAAGTGTTAACTGCGTGCCCCTCTTCTTTAGCAGGCCTCCCTAACCCTAACCCGCACTCGCGAGACTCCTTTACACAAATAAGATCACAGTTTACCATCACTGTGTGATGGCTGAACTATGCATGATGGAAACTAAACATTTCATGTGAGTTTCAAAGTTGGGGTCAACCTTTTGCTCTTTATGTTAATCCTGCCAGAGCCGGGCCAGGCCAGCAGCGCTGGCGTCAGAGTATAATCCTCATCCATGAGTCAGCCTTTACTGGCACGTCAGAAGCCCAGAGACGTGAAAGAAAATCATAGATGGAAGGGATTCCCAAAGAGCACTTAGATTAAAGAGTGAGCAATATAAAGAGGTGAGAGTGTGAGCAGTGGTGGCACAGGGTGGGGTTTATTTTTAGATTGAGAAAAGGCCAATGGTGATCCGGTCTGAGACTTGGCAGACAGGGCGACCTGGGAGTGTGACTGTAGACAATGTTATTGTGAAATCCTGCCAATGCTGTCCTTCAGTAAAACGTTCTCATCCTGGGAATGAAAGAATATCTGTAAATAATGCTGGATTGGGATTGGGTCATTCAGGTAATCCAGTGGTTTCCTGATACAGAGAAGGTTCCATGGACCTGAACATATGGGTGAATGAATAAAGGACATGTTTAAAGACGTGTTGCTTGTGATTGGATGAGTATTCCACATTATGACTTCGATGTTTGAATGAGAATTGTGATCATTTTGCATCAGTTGGTCCAGCAAAGGTTAAGTAAAGAGGCCTTCTGCTCACCAAACACAACACACTGATTAAATTGAGTGTATTTAAATGTAATTATTCTATGTTTAATTAAAAAAAAAATTGATTATGAAAAAAGCTTAAAATTTTTTTCTACTCTAATAAAGTCTGTGTTTTTCTAATTAACTGTACTAAATTGACATTTAAAATACTCAGTAAACAATTCTAACCCAGAGCTCCTGTAACTTGAATTATTGCAAAAATGTGGCGTTTGCATTTTTTTGCTATTTCACAAATAAAACTGTAAAAGTGTCCAATTCTGCTGCAAGTGTCTACAAATAACATAAATATCATAAAAATATTTAATTTAAGTGAATTTATCGGTCCCTTTGAATTCTCTATATGTCATAAAAACATTTAATCATATTTATCTCAATTAGATTTTTTTTGCATGTCTTAAAATTTCTTAAGCATTTAATGACTTGTCAGCCATTTGCTCACTAAATCTATAATCCGACACTTAACTTGAGAATTTTCTTAAGCTCGTCAAACATTTTTGAGTTTAGATTGTAGGTGTTGCCCTAAAGACGAGTCCACACTGGGGGCACCAGTGGAGCGGAACAGCAGCGGAACGTCATTGCTTCAAGAAGAATCCATTATTGTCTATGGGGGGAATTCTAACCGGCCACAGCACAGAAATTTTCAGGCAGTGGCTCATCAGACCACACCACACCACGCCACACCACACCGCGCCACGTCCCACCATGTCATGTTGCGCCGCTAAAAATAAAATTGGGTTAGATTTTTTGCTACAAGCCGCTTCTGGGATTTGACAATTTCTGCAATTAACATAGGACAAGACATGAAATCACACACGGTATCCGTGTAAAACGTCCAGTAATTTTTTCAATAAAAATTTTTTCTAAATAAAAGTCTATTGCAGCGTTGCAATGTCTTCTATATGCGGATGTTGAATGTACATGTGACCTGACGGCTTATTTACTAGTATCTATTAAGAAGTGGAACAGTGTCTTTCTTCATTGACGTGATCTTCTTTTTGCTTTTACTTCTGGTTAAGTCTCGAGGGATTTGGTGATCATGTGAGTCCTGCAAGGAGGAAGGCAGAGATGGCGAGCCGCTCCCAGTGTGGACTGACATGATGTGAAAAACTGTGCCACTGCCGTTCTACGCCGCTGATGTCCCCATTGTGGACCCTGCATTAGACTGGACCAATTGCTAGAAGAAACAATAACATTTTGGCATTTTGATTCATGTGAGACAATAAGGGTGAAAATATTTAATGCAAGGTAATAAAATTAGAAAAATACTTTTATTAATGTCAAAGTAAAACGTTTTATTCAAACATCCTCATGCTTTTCGTAGATTTTTTGTGAAGTGTTGAAGTATTTGAGCAAATGTATACTCTCTAATTAACACTGAATGTTTGACCTGTGAGATGAAGAGTTACGACCCTTTTCCTGACATGTAAACATGACATTGCTCATGTTGAAAACCAAAATCTTTTTTTCCTCAGGTGTTGATTCATTTATTTCTTACTTTATTCCTGTAATTTTTATTATTCAGTATCTAAATATGTTCAGCTGTAATTTAAAACACCATCACGTATCTCTAAACTACGGAAATAACTGGCCATCAATGCGAGGAAACAAAAGGAGCAGTATCTCGTGGTAATGTCAGTGTTTGTGAACACTTTCATGCCAAGCCTGCCAAACTGGCAGACAAGGTTTTTACTTTTTCAGTGTGAGAAATTTCTGTTGGCTATTTTGTCATTTTAGCTTTTTGCTAAAACAAGCTAACTTATTTTTTTGTGTAAAGAAGCAAAAATAAAGTAGGAAACATTTTTTTCTTCTTTCTTATTATATTTCTTCACCTCTTTTTCTATTCATTATTTCAAATTTTTAGCAACAAAAGGACACATTTTAAAGGCAAGTTTAGGCAAGTTTTCATTAAAAATGTTTTCACGATAATAACTTTTAACACAGAAAGTTTCCGTTTTATGGTGTTTTATTTGTTACATTGTTACAATTGTTATTGTGGTAACATTTTACAATAAGGGTTCCTTTATTAACATTACTTAGTGTACTAGTGAGCATCAATAAACAAAAAGTCCCTTTATTAGCATTACTATGGTGTCAATAAGGTTAGAACAAAGGGCCAGGGGGCTCTTGCTTAGTAGTGTACCTTGGCTTGGACAATCCTCTACCGTGCACCATCTTGCCACAGGAGTCCCCCAGGGCTCTGTACTAGGACCTCTTCTCTTTGCCATATACATCACCTCACTGGGCGAGATCACTCGATCACTTGGCTTCTCCTACCACTGCTTTGCAGACGACACCCAGCTCTATCTGTCATTTCCACCGGACGACCACACTGTCTCTGCATGAATATCAAACTGTCTCTCTGACATATCAAAATGGATGAAATCCCACCATCTCCAACTCAACCTCTCTAAAACTGAACTACTTGTCATCCCAGCAAAACCATCCATACAGCACAATATCTCAATCCAAAATGACTTCCTATCTCTGGCTCCTTCAAAGGCAGTTCGAAATCTGGGTGTTGTGATTGATGAACACCTGAACTTTAAAGATCATGTTGCCTCTGTTGCCCGTTCATGCCGCTTTGCGCTGTGTAACATACGAGAGATCAGACCATACCTAACACAACATGCCACCCAGCTCCTGGTGCAACCTACTGTCATCTCCCGCCTCCATTACTGCAATGCCCTTCTAACTGGTCTTCCAGGCTGGACTGTGAGACCTCTTCAAATGGTCCAGAACGCAGCGGCGCGTCTGGTCTTCAACCAGCCAAAAAGAGCGCACGTCACCCCTCTGTTCATTGAGCTCCACTGGCTACCGCTAGCAGCACGCATCAAATTCAAATTGCTAACACTAGCATACAAAGTCCGAGATGGTACGGCTCCCATCTACCTGAATCCTCTTGCAAAGGCTTACGTCTCGGCCCGGCCGCTCCGGTCATCACAGGATCGTCGGCTAGCAGTGCCTACACCACGCTCAGGACAATCCAGACTCTTCTCATGCATCGTTCCACAAATGTGGAATGACCTTCCAAGCACTACCAGAACAGGGGCTTCCTTTTCAATTTTCAAGAAACTCCTGAAGACCCTGCTCTTCAGAGAGCATCTTCTAAACTAGCACCCTCCCTGCACCCGTCCCCCCTCTCTACTGTCCACTCCTTGTTCCCTACTCTCCATGACTGATGTCATGTTGTTGTTGTTGTTGTTGTTAGCCTCAAGGGCAACATGCCGATTATCTTCTAAGTCGCTTTGGACAAAAGCGTCTGCTAAATACATAAACATAAACATAATGCATCACCTAATGTGGCTAAGTAGTTGTTATTACTTTACTAAATAGTTTATTAATCCTTAATAGTGCACTAAGTAACATTAATAAAGGGACCCTTATTGTAAAGTTTTACCAAAAAACTAAACAAAAATTTGTACCATAAAGACAATTAGTATCAGATCCAGACTTTTAGGCTCTTTGTGTGTCTACACTGTGATACATTTCTCATCAATTCATCAGTCAATGGTCAAATGTTGAGTTATTTGACTTGCGACCAATAATAAACAAGGTCCACTGCAAAATGACAGCAGGAAATAAGAAAAAATAGATGCTCACAAAGAAATTTCACTAGGATGAAGGATAAAAACGGAAGAAATAAAACCATAAAAAGCAAGCTATGAACTGTTACTCATGGTCAGAACACCTGTGGATCGTTTCAGATTCATCCAAAGAGGATTTGGTTAAACAGAATAAAAGTAAGCAGCGGAGGACACAGAGCAGGAACACTGTCACCTGCATCTTAGACATTATCTAATCAGCATTTAGAAAATGTGTTGCTTGTCTTATTTAGTGTTTCACTAACTATAGCTACAATCTCTCTTTTGAAGTAGTTTCTATTTAAAATCACTACTGAAATCAAAAGAAGCATCCTTTCTTCTACTTGAATGTTTGGATGATCTAGCTAAATTCATGCTCACAGCTTTGCATTTTTCATGATGACACTAATGGTGTACTGTGGTGTAAATATGGCTGCAATGCAAACAGAAAGTTGTCGCAGGTAATTTGTGAATTTGTAATTCACCATTCACTTGCATTTCTATCATTTGTGCCTCACATATCAACTCCACACTATAAAAAAACAGAAATGTACATTAAAGGCACACTGCAATACAGATAAAAGTAATTTGATCATGTATTTAACCTTAGTTATCGTGACCTGTTGCCATGCCAACCGTAGCAGCAACGTGAACTTCCTGCTGGGGGACAAATAAAGGTTAGATTTTAAAATTAGACGTGTTGTGCCCCGTGATTAAAGCTGCACATGGTTGTCATGAACATGTCTCAAAACTGTACAACCACCTGAGGAAGGCAGGCAAGGAAGCATTGAGGGGTGTTTAACTGTACGGAGATGTGAACGTCGAGTCAGTTCAGAGTGATCAGTGACACTCACCTGCTTCGGTTTGGCTGTGAGGTCCAACTGGTCTTGGTCAAACACCTCTTTCCCTCCCCACGATCCTCTGGTGTCGCCGTTAGATGAGGAGGATTCTTTGAGCTCCTTGACCTGAACCGGGTCCAGACTCATCTTCACCATAAAGTCGTCGCTCCAGACTACTCTGCCTTGGACAAAAATCCCTGTGCTCCTCTTCAGATGAAAAAAGGCTCAGAGAAAGAGGGCACAACTGAACGAACAAAATGTCCCGTTACTGTCTCTGACATTCATCCAGACTGACTTGTCCTCACATAACTGACTGAGAACAAGTGTTGCATTTGCCTTCAAAGTGCAAAAACTGCAAATATAGAAAGTTTGCTCCTCTCCCTCGTGTTCACTAGTCTGTGCACCACTTTTCTTTTCATAAAGCTCCTAGCATCCAGTCCAGAGAACATGAACTGTGATCACAGCTTCATAATCATTATCCCACACGGTTCTGCTACAGCACGTCTGCACGCACACTCACAACCTGTCAGGCTACCCTCTGTAGAGATGTTTTAGGCTGTCCCTCTGTCTCCCCCCCCCCCCCAACCCCATCCCTGTTCCATTCAATCACTCTCTGGGCTCCATGGTTTCCTTTTTTCTCCCCCCTCTGCCGGCGTCGACCAATCACCACCCTGCTTCCTTATTCAGCCAGACTCCACCTCCACTGTCCCTGTCACTGCAGAGAGGATCACGGGAAGTTCAGGCACTCAAAAATATAAATAGTCATGATGATGAAATGATTTTTATTAATAATTATTCCAAACAAGATAAACAGAGTGGATGATTTTTTTCTTTGCTATGAATAAAACAAGTCTCTGAAGACTGTTTAAATGAAGGCGAGGGCCAGTTTTTCTACTGGATTCATGTATTTTTATATAAGAAAATAATCCTGCAGTTTACTAGAGCTTTTTAAGTTAAATAAATGCTGCAAAACCATTTTTAAACATTTAAGCAACCCTGACAAAACAACTGTGTGTGAGACAGAGACAAGAGGACGAAATGAGCCTAAAGGTAGCAGCTAATGGAAACAATTAAGAGCCATTAGTGACACCACACACCGTCGTGTCAAAGTTTCCAACAGCTACAAGCCTCTGAGGCTGGAGTCATGTTTAGTTTCTGAACTGCTGTTTGGAGAGAGTGTTGCATGTAAACAACAGGTTCAATTTTATGCATCAGAATTAGAAAAACATCTAAAAACTTAACATCAGAGGTGGTCAAAGATTAAATAACAGAACTTTTTCTTATTTTGTCTACAGAGTAGTTAATTTGTGGATGAACCAGGCAGAACCAAAACCTCACCAGGTCACACGTGACTTCATAATGACCAAAAATGTGTGGAACAAAAATGTTCTTTATCCCTAATTTACAAACGGCAGTCCCAACGTGCATCCAGAACGACTTTAACACACCGCACATGCAGTAGCGGTTTTAGGCACGGGCAGACAGGGCAGTTGCCCGGGGCGGCATTTTTTCATGACACAAAAGGGGCGCACAAGCGCGGAGTAAAAAAAAAAAGGAAATCTGCGCCGCACCGAGGTTTTCTATTATCTGTCATATGACAGTGTCTGGATTGGAAACAGCAAATTGGCGCCCCCTGCAGTTGCAGGCGCTCCTGCTGACTGAGAACGTTCACGTGCACCGTGTGTCTATGAAGAAGAGGAAGGGGAGGGGTGCGGCGGGGGAATTCACCTCTGCGTCTTTCCCAAATGAAATGAGCGTGCAGGGGCTGAATCAACTGTATTAACATGGCTAAAGTCAATCACATCTTAACGTTCTTCCATATTTCATTCATAATATCATAAACACAGGCCTATCATTCTTTCAGGTTTCTCTGAATTGTGTGAAATGGCCGAATAAAAAAAGGAAAAACAAAACGATTTTGTGGTCACCCCCCATCAAGGTCAAATTGTTTAGTCCTGACTAAAGGAAACTTACTGAGTCAGGAGCCAAACAGAAGAGATGAACATAAAAAGGCTAAAACCACCAGGTGCCCCATTCAGGGGGAAAAAAAGAAAAAAGAGCAGAAAGATAAAGGTATGTAGCTCTCATGATGCATGTTTTCAATTTTTTGAACCAGTTAACTGGGATTTTAACAGTTAAATTGGGTCAGCTAGTTGCTAACAGAGCTAGGGCTGAAATATTTAAACGAATATTCAAATGGTTTGAATAAATTCCTTGAATCATTTTTTACTGATTCAAACTAGGATTTGTTAAATGCTCACTGCAGCCTGTGGCCTGCCTGAACAACAACAAACACATGTTGATCATGTTCACATAATAATAAATAAAACAACTCTACAAGCAGAAGAAAACTCCCAGTCACCACTAACTATCCTGTTTATTTATTGCAGATGGCTGCACTGATTATTTTTACATGATTTGTTCTGTAAAAGTTGGCATTTTTGGTAGTCTACAGTTTTTTATGTCAGTTTAAATTACAATTTCAGAGGCAATTCTAAAATATTATGGATCATGACAAAGATCTATTGGAGATCTACCCCAACTTTTGGACTGCTCTGCCAGTCACTGTGGCTCAAGCTGAGAGGAGCTTTTCAAAACTTGATCAAGTCATACCTGAGGTCACCTGTGTTTCAGGGGCGGCTCACTAACCTGGCTCTGATTAGTATCAATCACTCAGTAGGGGAGCAGATTTCATATTATTCACATTATTGATGACGTTGCATCAAGGTTAGGTTTTAATTTTAGTTTGTGTTTTCTGTTCTAAGTGCAATGCTGTAGTGATTATCTTTAGTTTGTTACGTGTGAAATATTTTTGCTATTTAGAATATTTACTATCTATTATGTTCATATATTCTTAATATTTAGTTATTGTTTGTTTTTGTATATTTGATTCTATATATTTTGATACAGTATATAATGTATAGTGCTTTACATTCTGACAACTTCATAGTAATTAATGTAAATATGTGCAACTTAGAAAAATGAATGTTCAATAGTCCTTCTAATAAAACATGCCTGTTTGTAGAAAACATGCGTGTGTTCATGCAGGTGGGGTGGTGTGGTGGTGGTGGTGGTGGGGGGGGGGGCGGTTGGGGAGGGGGGGCGCTCAAAGGGGGCCTCGCCCGGGGAGTAATTCGATGAAGAACCGCCACTGCGCACATGGCAGGTATATCTGGTGGAAGCCATTGTGTTAGTTAGGTACATCCTTAAAGACAAAGTTCACTTGTCTGTTCAACACCTTTGCAGTGCTCTCAAGTATAAAAGAACGCCTTGTGACTCAATCTCTGTGGGCAAAAAAGCTCTTTCACTCCTTTTCACAAGTCAAAAGTGAGCCATCCCAAACATGAAGATGTGTACCCAGACGGAGCTTGGTCGTGGTGCAGAATCGATGCTTGTCTTTCAAACTGTCTCTGCATGCTATTGTACAGCGCTAGGACCAGCTGGAGCAAAAACTACATAGCCTGTTCATCAGTGGGGCAGTCCGCCATTGCTGCAGAAGAAGAGGCAAATCCTTTTTTAAATAAATTACTCGAGCACATCTATCGGCTCACGTCTCAAAGAAAAGCTCAAGTCTAAACTGTCCAAACTTGATGCTAAAGCCATTTAGAATGACAGCTGTTCCTGGGCCCATCTTTGTAGTTTTTCTCTATCACAGCTCTGGTGCTAAGCCTGCCCAACATCTCTCTACAGTGTGCTGTGATTAGCCAGAGCGACCGTTTGGCCCAGTGGTGCTGAGGCTGTGATGTTTCAGAGCGCGGCTACGGTTTAGGATGAGGAAGCAGCAAATTTCTCCTCCTTTGAAAGCAGAAGTAGACAAATGCAACAATGTTCATTCAAAAATATCATTGTAGTCTTAGCAAATGCAATTTTAAAAAGCTTTTCACTCATTAATGATTTGGTTTATATTTGCGTTCTGTTCTTTAATTCTATTAACTTCAAATGTGTTAACCTTTACATAGCAAGACTGTGTAAAGGTACCAGGACAAACACTTGGGCTGGGATCATACGTGATTTTGTGTCGCATTCTGGGATGTACACAGACATGGAGGTGGCCTTATGAGTGTAAACAAACTGTGTAAACAAACAATATGTCGCAGAGAAGATTTGGAAGGAAGAATGTGTTAAACTACATGCAAAAATCCCAAAAAGGATGCAGAATACACACGGATATGTTAAATTAAGACATCAGGGCCCTATGTGGACAGAATAAGCACTATAAACAGTTTTGATCCTTATAAAAGACCCACGACTGGAGCACAGACGACAGCTTGTTGCCACCGCAGTTATGCAAAATGGACATTTTCAGCTTCCTTGTTCGTGGTGTGAGCGGGTGTAAACGTCCGGATGTAGCGTCCAGCAATGGTCAGTTTGGGTACAGTCTGACTTTTCACCATCTATTCAACACCTGGTCAGAAAGGAGACACAATACTGCATGTGTTCTCTTTAAATGAGCCTTCACGCCATCTGGGATTTAGACTCTGCAAGTCTGAATCATAAACAATAACCTTCTTTCCCAAGGTCTCAACTGTCTGCCTCCAGAAGAAAGAAGATCCAGCTCGAATCAGTTGCTAAATTCAAGAATGATTATAAACTCCTTCTATGACTTATAATCTAGATAATCATTAAATAAACATCTGTTTATTACTACTTGTGATAATTATAGTATAATGAAATGCTTCAGTAATCTGTGCACACTGAATGGATTTACATTATGTGTCTAATAGAACCTGCAGTGTGTTCACCATGTTTTGACTACAAGGTCCTCACACCTGCTCCACACAATAACAAGTACGGCTGAGTTAAACCCATTACACATAGCTAACCTTTTACCCAGATCAGAGCCTCCATATCAAAGAGGGTGTGTTTCTGAGTTGTCTTGGTAACCGCTTCTGATTGGCTGTGGAAATCATAACATAAATTATTTAAAACTAAATCCCTTTGAGTGAATTGGCAGTTCTAGAGAAAGCTTCAGACCGGCCATCTTTAGCATATCTCTTTAACAATCAAAGATTGTGACACGTCTTCAAAACCTTTTTGCACCTACAAAGCTGAGACAGCAAACAGTTCCTGCCGAACAAAGCTGATGTTGTTCAATTCCTTAAGAGTTATTCCTGAGACGCAAGCTGATTCCAACCTGTGCTGCCTGGTGACATCTTTTGGACTGGAGAAGTCGGTGCTTGCGGTCAATCTACCGGACCTGGGCGCCCAGAGGTCATCCGACCTCTCTGACCTCCGGATCCGTGACGAGGGTCATCAAAAGGATGAGGTAGAACACAGAGAGATTGCGTCTGAATGTGCTTCTGAAGACGACCTTCTAGTTTGAGCAAACCAAATTCTTTGTTATCCGGAGACGCCGCTTTCTGAGATTGGGAAGTTCTGACCAACACCGCATTTATACATAGGTTCCTACAT